GCTAAATACTTTTTTGCCCCACTGTACCTGTACCTTTATTGGAGTGAAAGTAGATTGTCATGGCCCTTTTCTACGTTTTTTAAAAATTTCCTAGTCTAGTTTACAGTCCTGAGATTTGAGAACTCCCATACAAGTACTAACCAGGGCAAACCCTGCTTAGCCCAGACAAGATCAGCCAGAAATGGATTTTTCCACGGAAGAATCTGTTGTGAACCTGTCCTGATACCAGACATATACTCCTGTGCTGAGGACCTGTTTAGAGGTATGCATTTAATTCCTAGTAAAGATTCATCCTCATGAGCTACTATGTGGCATCTTGGTGAACCACAAATTTCTAATTAAAACTATATAGATCCCATGAGCCCAAAATCAAACCACACCTGAATTTGGAACAGTCACAAGCAACTCTAAGAAACTTCCTTTCCCAGCCTAATCCAGATGAGCAGGGAGCACCTGTCGAAGGCCCCTCCCCATTGCAAGATGCAACTGCAGGCATTCTCTCTGGGGGTTCTCCTCCTATGGGACACCTCTCTCTACCACCACCAAGGTGAGGGAAGTTGGGCTGATGGGATACCTTCTCATTCTTCCTAGATCTATTATTTTGGACCAAAGAGCAGTAAAACATCTGGAAGGTCTCAGGTCTCCTGTGCTTATATTAGGACAATCCTTCAACCACTCTGCTTTTGTCTTTTTCCGAGTTGGCCTTGCAACCAGCTGTTGGAGTGAACTGTCCGTGGTCCTGAACCCCTTTGCTATTTAGCAATGGATCTCCATGGGCTCTAATTTGGAGGACCAGCCCCCCTTTTAAAAAAAAAATACAACAGGAAGAGTTAAAAACATAGATCTTTTTAATAGGATGGCAAACAATATTATTTTACACTTCAAGCCCAAGTGAAACAGTCTGAGCTGTGTAGTCAATAGTGCCAAAGAAGTTACCCTTTTCGATCATCCCTGCTAATGGAATTATTTCCTAGGGGAAAAACACAATGACCATTTCCTCTTTATTAGAGGACTGGAGCAATAAACCATGATGTATTTCAAATATTCATATCCTTGTCCAATTAATCTACCCCAACAATTTATAAGCAATACATTCATATGGAGAACAAGTTTCATGGCAGATGTCTCCATGATGGTTGTAATATCTTTTTAGCCTCCATCATTATGTGAATTTCTTGTGACTATGGACAGTCAGGTTCACACATTTTGCTCTCAATGTGAACATATTTCTGGGGCAGGGGGAGAGGAAATATACTGGGCTGAGATTTTACATGGGAGCATCCAAGAAATCTGGCTATGCTGTGGCCAAAGAATGAATCTTGTAGCAAGAAAATGGATTTCTTGTTATGATTCACATTTCCATAAGGAGCAAAAGATGCTATTGAGCAGTGCAAAGGGAAACATCTCTTCCATGGAAACTCCATGACTGCTGATGCATATTAGTCCATTGATGCTTCTGAAATTGGGCTGGTGACACCAAGTGTCCAAATCCCCAGGTTTCTGATTCTACAGATCGATTTCCATCACAGAAGGTGATGCCTAAATTCTCGTGAACCTTCCAGCATCTGCTCTCATGCTCAGCATCCTCAGCTTTGGAGTTAATTTTGCTATCTGGAACAGGGTAAATCCATTAGTTCTCCTTAGTCAGCTGAGCATCCTGGTGTTTAGCCATTTTCTGAAAGGTGGCAAACACTTCTTCTATGTGCTCCAGCTCTGAACGAAGCAAGGCAATCTATGGGGAAAAAGAGGACATTAAGTAAGTATGTGGCCAATGCCTTGCTAACCCCATGACAATTGTTTCTTTGAGCCCATATGACATGCTCTCAAAATGTCAAGTGGGCCACTAGAACCAAACAATCAGGAACCCCAGCAATAAGCTCTTGATACCTTTTGCTCATGATTCAATTTGGCTTTTAAGGGGGTTTGCTTCTGAAGTCTTTCTGTGAGATTTGCCAGCTGCTGCTTTAATTTCTGTTGTCGAGATGTCAGTTTGAGGAGTTCTTTGTGGGGATCCACCAACCCCTAGGATGAGGGAAGAGTCAGAAAAAGCCTGGTTGAGCGGAAGATGTAACCCACCTCCTAAACGAACCATTCTCCATCCATGGTCCTTCAGTTATCATTAGCTCAAGAAAATATCTATCTATCTATCTATCTATCTATCTGTCTGTCTGTCTGTCTGTCTGTCTGTCTATCAATCAATCAATCAATCAATCAATCAATCAATCAATCAATCAATCTGTGAGGCACTGGCCTATACATGTTCCCTGAAAAGGGGCCATAAACCTTCCAAAGTACTTTCAATCACCACCTTTCTTTGTATTCCCCATGAATCTTGAACCCAGTAATATCCTAAATTGTGACTTACCTGCAGATCCATGTAGATGCTGGTATGATGGCTTACTGTCACAGCCACGCAGTTCAGAGGTGACTCTGTTTCCTCAGAATGGGGGAGAAGATTCACAGATCCAGCCAAGCACAATGTCTGCAATGGTTCCTGATACTTCTCATAGGCAGCCCAGGGGGCTATTTCTGAGCAAGTCAGATACACTGGGGACAAATAGAAAAATTTAATGTATATGTTCCACCTTCAAGAAGTCAAGACTTGAAGAGAAGAAGAACCCAACATACTCTTGATTGGGAACCTTGTTATTACACTCACTTGGATATATTTTAAAAGTAAACAAGATCAATACATAAATGTGTCATCTTGCAGGAAGAAAGTTTCCTCATCAAATAAACACAAGTCTTGATCTTCTGCCTACATTTGCAACGAACAGGCTAACAATATCAATTCTGAAACCTAGTGAAACCAAAACATCAGACATCCATCATAGGGGAAGATCAGAAATCAAGCTATTATGGAGAAAACCTATACATGGCTTTCAAGTATCTGTTGAAAAAACAGAAGAGACAGAATGGACCACTTGTGCTGGTGCTAGTGCTACTGGTGCTAGAATCCACAGGCATATGGGTACATCCATGCATCTAGAAGGTTTGATAGAAAATGTTCACTTTCTACAAAAGAGTAATCTTTGGCCAAGCCTCACCTGTTGGTCGAGCTTTGGTTAGCTGGTAAGTTGCCCTCATGGAGCGTACCGTTTGGATGACTTCTTGCACTAACGAGAAGTTGGCCTCTTCCTCAGGATTACACCAATGTCTCTAGAAATGGAGGAAATCACTCGTGAAAAGTTGTTTTTTTGTACAGGCAAATGCTAGAACTTCATCATAATTTATTTGAGGAAGAGTTATGTTTGCCCCAAATAATGGAGGTCACCAAGGGAGCTTCCAAGACCAGGTCTGTGAAAAGCGGACTCACCAGATGTTCAGCATCTGGGTATCTGGCCACACAGATACTAGGAGAAGTCTCCAAGTCTGTCTTGGGAAGCCGCTGCCACAGCTCCTCTGTGAGGAAAGGCATGAAGGGAGACAGGAGGCGCAGAGCCAGGTCTACACAACTGTGCAAGGTCTGCTGAGTAGACAAGAGGCGAACTGGATCTCCACTCCTCAATATGGGTTTGACAGACTCCTGGGAAAAGAATGGTAACCCATTAGCTGATGCAGCTGGTGGAGTTCTAAAACATGAGAGCCCCATGAAAGGTTTAGCATACACTCCCCCAACCCAATGAGCTCTGGAGGAGTTGGACTGCAACTCCTGGAACTGACAGCCTGGGGAAGACTGTTTTAACATAAAGCACACCTTCTGGGCTTTGTAATCCAACCCACCTAGGTATTTCCGTAAATGCACATAAAAAGAGCCCAACATAGAACCTACTTATTCCACTTGGCCTCCAAAGAGGAATCTCACCCAAAAAAACCAAATCCCCCAGATTCCTGGACACTCTGTGCAATCTCCTTCTTAATCTCAACTCGCGTACTTTCGTAGGCCAAACCAAACTCATCCCACAGCAAGGGGTCATTGAACCCTCCATCGACAGTAAGCTCACCAGATAGGTACTGCAAAAATCTTGCAGCCAGAAAAGATAAATGGCATTGGCCACAGAATGCAGCTTGTACTTCTCAAAGTGCTGGGCACAATATTCTGCCGTGTGATAGAGGCGGCTGAAGATCCACTGGTCCATCGGAAAGCTGGGGAAGACCTGGAGAGGGTAAAGGAAGATAACGCACAGTCATGATGCCTATTGGGTATTATTAAACGTATCCTTCCTAAAATCAGAGGAAGGTTGAAGGAGATGAACACTGGTTGCAGAGAAGCCATAAATATAGAGGTAAGAGAAGATCATAGGTGAAGAAAGGCCCTCTCTTTAAGGACAAGTTTGAAAGTGGGACCATGACACATGGAAAAAAGGCTCTACCCCACATTTCTATAGCATAGCCCTTTTTGCACAGAATTCCTCTCCATTGCTGTAGTTGTGTTGAAGGCGGTAGATGCTGGGACTGGAATTTCTTGTCCCACTCTAGATATGGTCATTTCTAAGTTGAGGTCACATGGCAAATCACAGCAGAAGCACGGTTCCACTCACACAGCTTCTGAACCATTTTCAGGAGGCAATAATGAACTTTTAACTACCTGGCAAACCAGCCACTTGCCCGTCCTTGCAAGAACCAGTGCACAGTTTAGTTATATGGGATAGTTATGAACACTGCCAGGGGATCTAAGTTTCAGAAGATCCACAATATTTGGGGACCTAAAGCTTATTTATCTATTCCTCTTCTTACTTCTTGACCAAAGGTGCACCTACTGTACATCCAATGATCTTCAATACCACCTGGGCACCCAAGATCACCTGAAAATCACCTGAAACCGTATATAGGGTTCTCCAATATCCCAATCTGGCTTTCACCTCACACAATGAAAGACAGTGCCCTTTCTGAACATCTTTCCACAACCTCATCACAGTTGTCACTCCCAGTTACCTTCTCTGGATCCAGTGGGGTAAACCCTTCTCCCAGGGCCGCCAGACTGAACTTTAGGGCATTCCAAACCTTATTGCAGAAATGGCTGGCTTTCTCCATGGCTGCCATGTCCAGATTAATACTGGTGCCTGTTTGGAAATAAATTAAATGGAGTCTCAATTTTCAAGTCCACCTATGGTAGACAGTTGTCAGTAAGTCACAACTAATAGCTGTATTATGTCACAAAGTCAGGGCTAGCTACATGGTGCCTATTGATTCTTCCCATACTACCCCTCCTGAGACCCCCCCCCCCTTTCCTAACTCTTCTGACTTTTTACCATCTCCTTTAAATCTAAATAAATAAATGGGAGGACATATGCTCCAAGGAACCAGTTTGGTGTAGTGGTTAAAGATACAGGGATTGAAACTAAGAGATTGTGAATTCCAGTCCTGACTTTATGACATAAGACAGCCTGGTGACTTTGAGCCAGCTCCCCTCTCTCAACCCTGAGAAGAAGGCAATGGCAAACCACTTCTGAAAGAATAATGCCACGAAAACCTCATGGGGGTGGGGGAGTTGATGGGCTTTTTGTATTGTGGATTTTAATTTTGTAAGCCACTCAGAGTCACCCGTTGAGTTGGGCAGCCATATAAATTTATTTAATAAATAAATAAAATAAACAAGCTGGAAGGCACCAAAAACAAACAAACAAAAAACAAAAACTCCAAGGCGGCAAACAAAAAATTAATCTCCGACATCAACATTATTTATAAAAATGCCTGGGTCCCATACAGGCCTACAGACATTCTTAGAAAGTGAAGATGGTGAGGAAGAGCAGCCCGATGCTTTGTTCTGAAACGTGCCTGCAGCCCTCACCCTCCTAAAAAGAACAAACCGTAATCTGGGATAGAACAGAGTGTTCTGAGAAGCTGACCTCCAAAGGTGATGGTGAAAAAAACACTGGCCAGGAACCATGCATGACACCTGAAAGTCTTGAAGAAAGGACATACTAGTGTAGTAAAGTGTACTAAATGATCTACAGTCCAACTCTTGGCATGGCTTTCTAAAGAAACTCCATACCCAAAACTACTGATAACCAACTGTGAATGTCAGCACAGCAGGGTCCTCCTATAAGCATTTTGCAATCTTCTTTTTTCTAACCACTGACTTCTCCATGACCAGCTGTAGTTATTGTATAGCCAGAGCACCTTAGAGGATGGAAGAGAAATACGGACAATTGCTTATTTGCTTGGTTTTAAGTATTCATTTTGTGTATCTGTTTTTATTGGTTTTATATTGAGGGGCAATGGAAGTGTGCCTTCTCTGTCACTGGGATACCGCTCCCCCCAAGGTTCATTCAACCCCATCACTGCTCTACCTAGAAAGGTCTTGAAAACCTACCACAGGCCTGGGGCTGAGGGGCTTTGTGATCCCAAGTGATGATGGATAAGGAATGGTTGAAAATGGTTTTTGTAATGAACTTTCCTATAGTGTTGTTTTAAATTTTTTGTATCTTAGATTGTTAGTTTTTACTCAGTTTTTTTTTTAAATGCAAGACCCCTTGAGTCTCTTCGATTTGGCGGTGAGAGAGACAGTGGGCAACTACAGGGCAAAGCACTTGGTTTATCCAAAAAGAGGCAACATAGCTATGAGACATGAGAAGAAAACAATTCAAAGAGACACCACCTTAATTAATTCAGTGTACATCTAGCTGGGAATTGACCCTTGCCGTTTTCAAGGTTACATTTTCAACCCAGACCAGCATGAAAGATGCTTGTCTGAAATCCATATCATTCTAGCCTCCTTGGTAGGTCAACTACATGGAACTTGACAGATGGCCATGTAAGTCTAATAAATTGCTGATTTTGTGGCTCTTGTTATTAGAGATATTGTATATTGCTAGGAGTCCTTGCAGAGCCAGCAATATATCAACATCATGAATGAATGAATGAATGAATGAATGAATGAATGAATGAATGAATGAATCTCTCACCATGGGCATCATAACGGCAGAGAGCAAACCTGAGAGCATCAGAGCCACTTTCGGGAATTCCTTGAGGAAAATTTTGCAGCTGAAAGGGAGCAGAGAGGGGAGGAGTGAGACCACTCAGAGGCCATGGAAATAAAGAGGGGAGGGGTCCAAGAAGGAAAAAGGCTTACCAGGCCTTCTGATCCAATGACAATCTCTTGTGGACTCAAATTGCTATCCTTCAGCTTCTGATGTAGGACCTGAAACAAGAACAGAAGCAGCCAGTGACAAACAGGAAGCCTGCCTCCATTCAACCCCTAACCCCATTTTTAAAACCTCCCCAAACCTCCTCCAGAATCATAACACCCACATTTGGCAGCACTTTTCCTATGCTTTTCATGATACAAGCTCCCACGTAGTTGCTTTAAGCCTCCCATGTAACATTCCTCACTCTCTTCTCTGAGAAGGTTCTGAGTCTTCAGGCTACAATCCTACATCCACTGATTCAGGAATAAGCCCAAAGGGAGGATTTTTTAAAACTCAAAAGGAATGCTACATGGGAAACCCTTGATTGAATGCACCAAAAAGAAAATACCTGCAAAGAGGCCCCATGAATAACATCCAAAGGGTCAATCACATTCCCAAGAGATTTGCTCATTTTCCTGCCATGAGCATCATGAATTAATGAGTGAAGGAACACCTGAAGCCGAGAGAAGAAAGAGAGGTTGGAGCATAGAGCTCTGCTAAAAATCTTCACCTTGGACCCACAGTCACACCCTGTTTTCTCAGACATATAATTCATAAAATCCTAGAATTGAGTAGGTAGGACTTAAGTAACCAAGTCCAACCTTCTGCTCACTCCAAGTTCAAGCATCTCTAATCAATGACTGTGTGCTTATATAGACCTAGGAGAGAAGCCCACCAGCTCTCTACCTAATTGATTCCATTGTTGAACAAATGCCATAAGAAAACTCTCTTGACACACTAGGAAAAGCGGTCATCTTGTAACTTAAGATCATGTCCTGTGCTCTGGGAGAGTAGTGTGGTAACCCTTGAACAGTAGAAAGAACCCTGATTTTCTCCAGATAATTTGTATTATTATGATTCCTTGTCATTAGCTACATTCTGGATGTTTAAAATCCCAACCAAACCACCTATCCTGTAGTCCGTGTATTATGGTTCTTCAGCAAAAACAGATGTAGACAATGTGATGCTCCTTGGGAATTTTAGGCTATCGTTTCTTCAATTCTTTACTGACTATTGGCTGTAGCTGGTGGAGTGCAATCCAACTATGAAGGGTACAAAATTGCTTATCTCTGATCCAGAATATATAACTGGGAAGACAATAAAAGGCCATTACAGTCCCCCAGCTGAATTCAGTGTGACAAATGCAGCAGAGGTCAGTCAATGTAATAGCCCAATGTAATGTAATAGCCCAATGTAATAGTGATTTCAGGATGACAGATAAATTAAGAGCTGGGTGACAATATTACTTTAGAAAATGCAGATTGTGAGTGAGAAGACAATATTATCTATCGAAGAACCTAGTTAAGACCAACCAAAGGTTCTCAGTGTTAATGAGTATTTTGGCTTCTCTTCCTCTGATGGGTATTCCTACTGTACCCTCAGGTCACTGAAGCCCAAGATCTCCAAAACACACCTCACCTGAGAGAAAGGCAGTTCCCCGGTTAGCTGTTTTCCTAGCATCACCATCCGGGCAACCCAAAAGAAGAGAAGATCGTTCCCTGTCTCCAAAAGGTTATTGGGATAGAATTGCCGGAGGTCTTCTGTCTGAGGGAAACAGAGATGCCTCTCATATCACCGTCATCATTAAGGAACACTTTATTCAAAATGATTCTGCCCATCCTGCAAGATCATCTAGAGAGTGTCTGCTGAAGGTCCCATTTTCACAAAAGGTGAGAGGAGTACGGACCTGGAAGCAGGACTCTGGGGTGATTGCCCCATGCTGTGGAACATGTTGCTCCCACAGATGCAACTGGTCCATTCACTCCTGGAATTCCAGACTGGAGAAAGAAGACACTTCTTTTTAGCAGGCTTTGGACACATAATCATATGATGAATGGGCAGCCATTGAGTTACATCTTGCTGTTGTTTTTATATTGGTGCTGACTGGGTTGTTGATTTTTATGGCAAGTTGTGGGGTGTTATTTAGAGATTGTGTTTTACATTATTTTAGACTGTATACTGCTCAGAGTTGTTTGAGTAGGTGGTATAGATAGGTGTAAAGTAAAATATATTTTAAGAAATCAAGGATCACTTTCACCCTTTTTGTCTCTTTTTCAGTCTCAGGAACCTCTGGTATGAAAGTGAGGGGTTGGGATCATTAATCCACAGGGTATTCTTGAGATATCCACTTCAGACTGGGTCTACACTTTGGGCTAAACCATAACATAACTTTTGTTTTTACTTTGCCATTTTGGGTGGAAAGAGCCACCGTGGTTTGCATGTCATGGCTGATGCCTTCACATCCTTGACGAACTCAGCCATCCGTAGCTCAGTCATTAAACCACAACTAAAGAAGCTATGGTTTTGCATGATGGGTGAATCAAACCTAAGTCTCCGTGCCCAAGCTGTCAAGTGGAAAGACCAGCAACCCAGTTCTTGGGTTGATTCTGAAGACATACAGGACAGACTTGGGCTTTGGACTACGTGGGCTGGAAAGTCTTGGCAGCTCCAGTCCCAGCAGAACTGGAGGGGGCCACGTTGGAGAAAGCTGCAAAATCCTTGACCACCAAATGTTTTTTTCAATGTTTTTTCTATTGTGACAATTTTCATGGGAAAGCAATCAAGTGCCAAAATGCCACCCACTTCGAATGTTTTGACTGCCTATCATTTCTGGGCAGGCCATATGAGAAATGAAAAAAATGACAGAACGTTGCTCCCCAAACAGGCTTCTCCTAGATTGTGGATTACAATTCCCACGTCCCATCCAGAAAGGTCAATAGCCAGAGCTGATAAGAATGGCAGTCTGATTCTCACTTATAATTTCCAGTGAGCCTGAACAAGAGTCAGGGATGATGGGTGTTGGAATCCAATATACCTGGGTGTAGGCAAGCCAGATAGTGTAATGGGCTATAAGAATAACCTTGGGAGATAGGAGCAAGAGCCGTAGCTGGTGCAACAATCAGACAAGAAATATCTCAGCCCGCAGAAGGAATGGGGCTACTCACCTTATGGGGCCAGCCCAAAGCAGCAAAAGGGAAAAGGCTGGAGGAGAACCAAGTATCTAAGACATCAGCATCTAGAAAAGATAAAAGCAGACAGAAATCTTGTATTTAAAAATGCATCACAGCCTCTTAGATTCTAAAAGACTAGGTACAGCCAGATGCCTTTGGAAGGGTTTCACAGAAATATATCCCACTTAAGGAAGGCAAGAGGGGCTGGTTCTGAAAAGCCTTCCATTTCTCCTGAATGCTATTTCTAGCTGCCTCCCCCAGCCTTGAAAGTCTTGGGAGAAAGAGTCAGCAGGATTAAATTAAACATTTTAATTAAAACAGCCATGGGAGAACATAAATACATAAATAATAAAATAGAGACGTTGAGTCTAAACCACCCCATCAGCACTGCAAGATTAAAACATCCGTGGTAAGAACAAACACCATATTGTGATTAAATTATAATGAGTACCACTATACCTGTCACATAGAATTAATTTATTTTTTTTATATTTCAAATTTGTCACCGCCCATCTCACTGTGGGAATAGCATAAAAGAAAAACCACCACAATTAGATACTAGCCAATGCCAGCAAGACACCATCATATAAACCGATTAAGTAAATACATAAATCAATCAATCATCATCAGGGCCCTCCAAAACAATTTCATTTGTAATGCTTTTCAGAAGGCCATGTCAACCTCTCTAGGGAGACCAGACCAGGAAATCAAGTCCACAGGAAGACTAAAAATATTTTTATTCAGATTGGCTATATAACAGAATCTTACAAGTCTGATTGTGCTATACCTCCTCCTCCTCCTCCTCCTCCTCCTCCTCCTTATACTCCAGTGAAGTAGGGAGGTGTCTGTCTGAGTCACTTCTGAATGTTACCTGGCTGTTCTGGACTTAAAAAATGCTTCAGCCCCTTTTGCCTAGGCAACAGTTTCTGCATCAGGGTCATCTTCCTTACTCTCTACAGGCCATTACGCTTGGGCCAAGCCTGACATCCACATAATTGGAGCCACTGCAGGAAAACATTGCTTCAGCCCCCTAATCTGGTAAGGACACGGGATCTTCAGGAGCTTTTCCTATGATGAATTTACTGGATAGATCACTTATAGTTGATGAATGTAGTCCTGGAGATATCTTGGAGCCACACTATCCAGGGCTTTGAGGTCAAAACTAGCACTTTTAATTGCACTCAGATGCCTCTTGTGAATATACATTAAAGAACTTCTTCCTGGGAACCCAAATTGCTCTCTTCCTCTCAGAAATGTTAAGCTCCTGTGTTGCTGCTTTACCTCTCACCAGCTCCAACTGTTCTTCAGATTTTCCCAGGATGCTGGCTGCTTTCCTCCGAGCTTCTGCTTCCGTCCTGCCCACTACCCATAATCCATCGCTCTCCTTCTGCTGAAATGCACACACAAAGCAATATAAATTGCACTGTGGCTGGGAGAAGCAGACATCTCCCCCTCCCTCCTCGGCCAATCATTCATTAGAGTTCCTGGCCTACAGTCAGAACAGCTGATGCTTACCTCTTCTAGGTCAGGCGACCCAGAAAGCATGACCTGATAAGCTGGAATCTGATGACCCCACCACAGTTGTCGAGAAATACACCAGTCACTAAGCAAGGACACCAGAAGGACAGAATGAAGAGTTTAAGAAGATAAGAGACTCTGTTGTATCACACTAAAGGACCATCTAGCTTGGTCTTCCCTAAACTAGGACCATTCTTTTGTACAGCTTCCTAGGAGTTGCAGTCCCTAAACATCTGGAAAAGCTCAGTTCAAGAGAGCTCTTTCAACATCTTGAACTAGTTCAACACAGATCAGCTACTTTCTTGGCATAATGATCAAAATGTGCCAAGACTGATCAGTACTGGCTTTATCATTAAGAAGGAATGCTGCATATGGCACAGGTACCAGCAAGGTTGGTGAAAACTAGCCTATACCTTATGTGAAAGACCCTTTTTAAATTATTCCATTTAATTTCTCTGGTTTACAATTTCTGCCTCTTTTTCTCCCCATAATGTGGCTTACCCCAAAAGAGAATAGTGTGATGGGATACATGTAAGTGGTAATGCAAAGTTGAAAACCAAGAGAACAATGAAATACAAAATCTCTTTGGATTTTAGCAACAAGGGTCCAGATCACAGCTCAATAACTAAATTCAAGTGCAGAAGGCCCAAATTCAGTCTACTGGAGACTGTGGAATGCCGCCACTAGTAAGACCAAACGTGGTGACCAATCAGAGAATAATTTAAGCCATTAAGCTATTTAATAAAGGGCATTTTTCACCTCAGGAGGCTACAACACTGAACTGGTCCTCAAAAACATGAATCCCACCCAGCCAAACAGAGGACAATAAAAAGCACGCAACAGTTCAAAGGAGATCACACTTGTCTTACTCAGTATTCAAGAGCCAAGTCCTCCAGTTTTTCTCATGAAATTTGGGGATGAGCTTCAAAGATCCAGATTCCACAGCCTTAGGAGATAAACAAGGAGGGGAATTCTTACAGAATCTATCTATTGTTTATCTGCTCCTTAAATGGGTTTACAACAAACCCCTACAATTTAACACCTTCATGGACCTCTACAGCAATGTTTTAATTTCTATAGCTGGAATCAGAGGTCACGAGAAGCCACAATAATCAGTTTGTCTGATTTTAGCTTAGCATTATGCGTGGACTTGACTGCTATGATAGGAAATGATCATTTAGAATCAGGCCACAGAGCTTGTTCAACAAATCATGGATAAAACAAAACGTGGCTGCCGTGTGTGTGTGTGTGTGTGTGTGTGTGTGTGTGTGTATATATATTAGATTAATTCTTAAAATCAAAGATATTGAAGGGGCTGTCAATTCTTCAAACAGACAAAAACTTTTGGAGCATTACCTCTAAGGCACTTTGAGCAATGGCTTCACTTCGGACAAACCACTGGTTCTTCAAGAGGATTTCAACCACATCTCCAGAGCGACTGTGAGTGAGAAAAAAACACAAAAGCTCCCTTGAAATCTATTTGCTCCTTTTGATTTGATTTAATCCCCACCTTTCTGCTCTGATAAGCACTTGAGGCAGCTACAAATATTTAGAAATGAAATTTAGAATACAATGAAGCCAACAATACAAAGCTAGGAACTTAAGGGGTGAAACCTTTAAAGATATGGAGAAAGATGTTCACATCAATGTTAAATATAACTTCTAAAATGTGAATAAACTACAGTTAAAGCTAAGCATGGCATTGATAGACCATTGCAAAGTGCATATCTCTGAGCTTATTGCCTAATACTAAGGGCTCCACTGTATTGTTATTTATTATTGTTTATAAATATAATAATATGTATTTTTGTCAAACGTCTACCCCAATGTTTCTCAGTCTCAGCAACTTTAAGATGTGTGGACTTCAACTCCCAGAATTCCCTAGCCAGCCATGCTGGCTGGGGAATTCTGGGAGTTGAAGTCCACAAATCTTAAAGTTGCCAAGGGTGAGAAACACGGGCCTACCCTGTCTGACCTCCCATGACTTCTCGGCAGCTTCCCACAAAATCCTCCAATGACCTTGAGGTGACGGAGGTTAAGGGGGACAGATGGGAGCCCAGCATAAACATTTCAGGGTCCCGTTACCTGCAAACAGGGAGAACTAAGCAATGGTCTTTCGCGCCCCGATAGAGACCTCTCTCCTTCAAAGCAGCCAACACTTTCTCTCGAGCCTGGAATCGATGCAGCCCCTGGAAAAGGAATCACCCGTGTCCAAACCGCCTCAGTGGCACCTGTTTTATTATGGCACATGCCAAGGACGCACGCCTACTGTCCCCGAGAGTCACACCAGCCCTACCTACTGCAGCACATTGACAGTCGGGCCCCAGAAGTGGATGTGGGGAGACTTTTTACAACCATTTTACTTTGGGTAGGTTTTATTTTTATTCATTTGGTAAGAGCCTACCTCCCCCCCGCCCCGGCAAACACACAGAGATACCCCACACACATACGCACACTTTATTTTTGTAGCAAAATTCTGCAAGAAAAACAGCTGTGGCTTATTTGATCCCCAGGAGAATATCTTAAGGCACTTGTGGAGACCTCTTTCCGTGGGGTTAAAAGAAGCAAATGGAACCAAACATCATAACTAAGGCAGAGAGAGGAAGGGAATGGTGATAGCAGCATCCTGGGGGGGGGGGGGGGGCAAAAAAGGCAAGATAGAAGCCACATCTGCATGCTTTAAA